ATACAATCCACCAAAAGCAAATAAAGCAGATTGTATACATATATAACCAAGCACAAGTTGTGTCCTTTAAGTGAGCCCCTATGTCATTATTATTCCTTTGTGGTGGAAATTCTAGAAGTAGATAGTACATAAATTTTACAGCTTCTTATCTGATATGTGGAGACCTTTTTATCAAGTATCATATGCCTCTTTTATTTGTGATTGACTAATTATAATATTCCATTTATATAATTGAGAATTGCTTGTTCTGTGTTTTCTTTTTCATTTTCTTTCATCCCAGTCAATCATTTTCAGTCAAATTAACATATATTAATGGGAAAGAAGTACAAATCAATCTAGAAAGCATTGTGAAAAAATGGTGTGAAACTATGCATCAAAAAGTCATATTGCAACTTTTATTCAGTATCCTATCCAAACTTCTCCTGCAGGACTTTCATAGCTGCTATTGTCAAATTTTCTCCCTTCTGCCTCGCTTTCATTTATCTTCTCTATAATTGCTATTGTCATATAAATGTGCTTTTATATATCGACATGTCTCAAAAATATAGAACTACTTATTTTTCATCTTCAGAGCAAACTTTCTCAGAAAATTACAATGTGTAAAAGAAGCAGCAAGAGAGGGCATCTGTATTAGGCTGAATAATGGTCTCTAGAAATATCAGGTATTAACCCTAGTACCTGTAAATGTTACCTTTTATGGCAAAGGGAATTGCAGATGTGATTAAATGAAGAATTTTGTGATAGATTATCATGGATTATCTTGGTGGGCTCTAACTGCAATCGTAAGTGTCCTTATAAGAGTACTGGAGAGGGAGATTTGACACAGAATCTCGGTTATGTGATCATAGAAGTGGAGAAAGAATTGAGAATGATACATTGCTATATTTGAAGATAGAAGAATGGGCCATGAGTCAAGAAATGTATTTCTAGAAGCTGCATTTGTGGAATAATTTCTAGAATTACTCTCCCCTGAGTTCTCTGAAAAACTTTGGGTGCTGTTCACACTTTGGTTTTGGCCCACTGATACTGATTATGAATTTCTGGCCTTCAGAACTGTAAGAGAAAAGGTTTGTGTTGCTTTAAGCTACCCAGTTTATGGCAATTTGTTACAGGAACATACGAAATAACAGAGAATCTTTTCTTGTTCCCAGGTTTAAAAGAAGGTCTTTTAACATACCCACACTATTATGTCATAAGATATTGTTTATTGGATTTCAAAAAAGATATATTATATCAAGTTAATGAAGTACCTTTTAAATTCTAGTTTAATAAGAGCATATACATAAAATAAATTACTGATGAATTTTATCAAATACTTCTTTGTACCAATATCTGTTAGGATACAGATCTTATGTATCTGCATCTACTGAAATGATGTGATTTTTCTCATTTACTCTGTGAATGTGATGAAATAATATACTTTTTAATTGAATCTCAATGATAACTGAATTAATCGTTATTTTGATTAATGACATACTTTCATCTTATGCCTATTCATGGTCATCTTTTATACATAGGTAATTAAATAATAACTTTTACAGTGTTGGAAACAACCTGCATAGAACACCCTGAATAAAACCTAAAATCTGAACAATGCCCACATTTAATGTAGTTTCTCACTCCCATCTCACCCTCTGTAATTACCTGTGTTTGAACCACAACCTCTTTCTTCTCTAAAGCACTAGCTGAAATCTAAACTCAACACTCCAACCTCCCATTTATTGTTTTCTGCTAGGCTTCTTGAAGTCTCACCTTTTGTATGTATATCTTTGATACTGGCCACACTTAAAGGACATTTGTATGGAGATATTTAGGATCTCTCACTGTGGTTACCTCCTTCTTGGAAATTTGTCTCATGAGCCCCATACAGGCTCGATACTCCAAATTCTAATCTCTGTCACCTCAACACTGTAAAACTTCACTTTGTGTGCATGCTTTCTTTGTTCACATCAGTATTTGGGAAACGCTATTAGAGGAAAAACATCTGAGTGAATATAATTTATCATGTATAGTTATTTATTTTTAATAATAATTTCTCTCAAGCCCTGTATAGATTGGTTGTTCTCCAGTACCTTACAACAGTTGTCAAACATATTTTGCATAGTGTTTTTTTTTTTTTTTTTTTTTTTTTTTTTTGAGACGGAGTTTCGCTCTTGTTACCCAGGCTGGAGTGCAATGGCGCGATCTCGGCTCACCGCAACCTCCGCCTCCCGGGTTCAGGCAATTCTCCTGCCTCAGCCTCCTGAGTCGCTGGGATTACAGGCACGCGCCACTATGCCCAGCTAATTTTTTGTATTTTTAGTAGAGACTGGGTTTCACCATGTTGACCAGGATGGTCTCGATCTCTTGACCTCGTGATCCACCCGCCTCAGCCTCCCAAAGTGCTGGGATTACAGGCTTGAGCCACTGCGCCCGGCCCTTTTGCATAGTTTTTATAGTCAACCTCACATGTGAGTTTGTTCACTGTATGACACTTTATTGTGGCCTGAACCTGAAATCCTCTAATATATATTGAAATGGATGGTTATTATAGTTCATGTTGCATTTCTTGTGTTTCCAATTAGTTTTTAGATGTTCTATTTCTCCCTAATTCTGGAATGAAGAATCCATTTGTTTCTTTCTAATCTACTTTCTTATCCATAATGCTAATGGGAGTGTTGTTTTGATGGTCATCAAGTTGATAACTTCTTCAAAACATTATTCATTATAGATATCTTTAAAAATATACCAACCTTTTTTTTTCTTGCCACCTCCTATTTATTCTCAACTCAGTTTCAACACATATACACATATTTTTGAATATGCATATTATAATATGGCCAGTATCAAAGATATACATACAAAAGGTGAGACTTCAAGAAGCCTAGCAAGACATCATCATCTTTATCTCTATTCTATATCTGGATAATAGTCTCTGACTTTGTCTCCTTGAATTTATTCTTTTCCCCTAAATTGATTATTCAAGAGTAATGTCATAGAGAACCAGAGCCAGAGGGTAATTAAAACAGCAATGAAAGGTTTTATTCAGAAATTATAGCAACACAAGAAAAGAGACTTTAGTATAGAAATGAGCTCAATTCCAATACAAGCAGAAAAGGAAATGTATAGCAAAATAGCAGTGTAAGGGGGTCAGTGAATTAAAAAAAAAAAAACTAAGAGGAAACACCAAAAGTAGGGGAAATCTTGCTAAACCAAATTAACAGGATTCTTGCTGAAGGCAAGTCAAAGGTGATCAGATATCAAGAGCGGGAGATTCTCTCTACATAGACTTAGCAGGATTCTTGTTAAAAGTGAGCTATGGAGACCAGGCAAGGACAGACAGGGGCCTACGTGGTGATCTAGTTGAGGGGAGAGCTCAAAAATCTGACTACAGTTTGATCAAGGAGCAAGTCTTTGTCAGAATTTGTGGAAATTTTTATAAATTACTGAAAGTGAGGCTTATTTACATTCTTCAAGGACTTACAAATTAATAAGCTGTGTTAAAATCTCCAGGTTTAATGTCTGTCTTCTTTCAACTTATTTCTGCTTTGTGAAAACTATAACTTGGTTCATGTTATTAATATCTATTTTATTTATAATGTAGAATGAAGCATGAAGCCTTCTGTAGAATAAATTTTCCTTCCTTATCCTGTTATATTTATTTTGTCCTAAATTCTATGTTGTCTCATAGCAAAATTCTGACAACTATTTCAGGATCTTGCTATCATACAAGATCTATCTTTGATCTTCTTTTTACATTAAACCATTCTGAATTGCTTTGTTTAGTATGTTTCTTGCACAGAGAATAGATTGGATTCTGCTCCATTAGCCGATCTAAAAATACTTCATTTAATGGTGAATTAAGCTCATTTGTGCCTTTGATATACTTATTATGCTAGTGTTAAGTGCTGTTATATAAGTTTTTGCTATTTAAATGATTTATATAAAATCTTGCCCCCGTAGTTATGCTTTTATTTGAGAGGGAGGATATATTCATTTGGTATTTATAAATGTTTCTGTATTTATTCTTGTTATTATCTTACAATAATATTATAATAAAATACACTAGCCCTTTAGTGTATTTTAATACTGTCTATTGATTTCTTCAATGAGTAATAATATTCTCTAGTAAACATTTCCTTTCTTCTCTCTTTTTGCTTAGTGTTTGCTTTTATTTGATTTTTTAAATGAAAGTTAGGTATTCCTGAGATATTCATGAAGATTCTTCTACTTTCTTTATCTTCTCCTTTTTTTCTGTTTCTTGTTGAGTTGCATTATTTCTTCATGTTTAACACACCGAATAGCATCATATTTTGTCACTTTAACCCCCATTACTTGTTCTTAATTATAAAATTAAACATATTTAATGCTTATCCAGAAGCTTCACCTGATGTTTGTCTTATTGTCAGTAAGTAGGACATTTCTTAAAAAAAAGGATTATAAGAACAATGTTTTTAAAAACCATAAATGTTTATGATGTTCTGCATTCCTTAGACGTGATGCATAGTACAGATAAATAGAATCTCATCTAGCTGCTCTTTGCTCTTTCATAATCATTAAAACATTTCTTTATTATCATCCTGTATAAAATGTTGCTGTCAAGAAGTCTATTATCAACATAAACTTCTTATCCTTTTACTTACCTGCTCAAATAATTTATATTATTTTTAATTATTGTTCTTAGAAATAACCATTAGATGGGTATTACAATTCCTTGCATAAGTGATGTATTTAGAAAATTTTTAGATGTTTTTAATCTCTCAATTTCTGTTTTATACTCTTGTTTTTAAACTCTATATCTCTTACTATATTTTGTACCATCCCTATTTGATTTTATGTACCTTCAAATTAATTTTTTTCTGACACTTACTTACTAAAAATTATCTTTATTGTCTCTGATTATCTGATTCTCTGATTAATTTTTATTTTATTCTGATTGTTTTTCTTCAGGTTAGTGTCTTTTTCTTTTGGAGCTAAGTATTATTGATGATTCCTTGTTGTAGTTTAGTGATAGTAAGATCTTCCAATTCTTCCTTTGATCTTAATTTTATCTTTGCCCTTAACCCCACATGGTACTGGCCCCATGCTGGCAAGGATTAGGACAACTACTCTTGTATTCTTGGTTTTATGCTGATTATTTGTCACCTGGCTTAGTTGATGATGTCACCCATGGATTTTTTTCATTACTTCTCCTACCTCCTCTGCCTGGTGTTTGGTGGAGATCCAGTCATAAATGAAAGAAAACGAGTTATATATATAGATAGACAGATAGACAGATAAGATAGATAAATAGATACATATTTCCATATATAATTACATACCATAGTTTGCTGCTGTCTCTCCAATTTATCTTATTTAATTTTCTCATAGTCAACAAGCTATACTGTGTAATGATAAAATAATCCAACTGTCAGGCAATACCAAGCAAAATATAGTATAACTAATATCTCAACATACTTGACCCTATATTTTACATGAAAATAAATGAGTAAAACACTTTGGGTTGGTCCCTGTTTTAGTAATATGTTATTTATTAAATAATGTGATAAAAATTAAGTAAAGTGGGGTTTTTTTCCTCAGAGAAGATATTTATCTCTAATGAAGTAGAAAAATAAATGTGTATAGATTGAATTAATTTATCTCTCTAGGTTTAAATAAGAAATAGACACTTAATTTTTTTGGCTTATTCCCATTTCTCCTGGCTTATTTATATTCTGATTCCTCTTGTTTATATAATTATTCACTTTGGTTGCTTCATCTATCTTATCTTTTTTGGTAGCGTAAAAGCAAAACTATTTTCATGGTCTAATCAGCATTTGTGTGCTTTCTTATTATTGTACTTTCTTAGCACAAACTTGATGCTGATCCTACTTCTCATTCTTCAGGACAAAACAAGTAGACAAAAATATCTGGGAATTGGCTCTAAGACATGGTTAAACGACACCAAAATGGGTCTTGTGCTCTTAATCTATAAAATGGGAATGATAAAAATAGCAAGTCTGTAATCACTACTATATGAAAATCGTGAGTTTTATGAGTGCTTGGAATAACTAGTACAGAAAACATATTGGTGTGCTTTATCTTTGAATACTCAAAAACAGTTTTGACAATAAGTGGTATATATTTATTAGTTATTATAATATGTATAACTAAATCATTTATATGTATTAGTTATAATATACATATTATACATATACATGTATTATAACCAATTCATATAAATAGTAAATAGTTTATATGTATTAGTAATTATAAGCCTAGTATAATAACTAAGAATAGAAACATAATATAGAAACTAAGAGTTCTATAATACACATAGTAGTTAATAAATGTGAAAATACTGTTTTTAGTATTTTATACTATTTGTATATGTATTCATTACTATATTGTATAATTCTTAGTTTCTATAAATACCTTTATTCTGTATATTTTTAATTACATATTTAGTAGCCTAATGTGTTTCTAGTTTGCAGAAAACAAGGAAAATTATCTTCCTTCAATGATTATAAGCGTGCATTTCTTCATCCAGAGAGGCTGAAAGGCAAGATCTTAACATGATATTTTATGGAAAATTATTTCTTCAAACCATTCCTACAACAGAATCATTTTTCTCTCTCATTATATATTTAATATAAAATTGTTTGAACAACAGTGTTAGATTACCAGTTCAAGTTCTCAGGTCTAACAAGATGCACATTTCTTTCTTAGACAATAAAATAGAAATATAAAGTAAAACATTATATTAAAATGAAAGTTTTGTGATATTTAGACATGAATATCTCAGCTTTTCACTAGCATATTATTTGAAGAAAAGCATTCACTTTTTCACGTTATTTCCTTACTCCTAAAAATGACAAAATTCTGTTTCTCACTATTTCTGTCTAAAAATTTAAACACGTTGCTATATTTCTGCAAAATGCTCCAAAATACAATACACAATAATTTTGTTATAGTTACTATATGTTTGTACAAACATTTGATTAATTTTCTTAATAATTGTTTGTTTATTTTTCATACCTATTTATGCTATAATTCTAAAGTTAACTGACTACTCTCTTGATAATGGAGAAAACTTTCAACACACAAAAACAAAATTTTTATTGTCTTTTAAATAGGTTCTCAGAAGAGGATTAGAAAAAGGCAACACATCAAAAACTTAAGAGACAGAAATAGCTTTTCTGTTGCTGGTAAATTTAATGAGATCTTAAGTTATTCGACTGGCACGTCTCATCTCTTTGAGCATCTCAGTGAAGACTGTCAGAAATCATCAAAATTCAACACAACAGAGTAAAAGCTAATAGCCTTTTTGTTACACCAAAACTGAAAGGATTGGTAAGACTCAAAATGAATGCTATTACTGAAAATCTTCTTTTATCTAATTATTTGTGCAGTGAGTGAAAATTGAACAAATACATACCCTTTTCATGGTGTTAAAATGAATTCTGACACTATTAAACAAATATCCTGTGGTCTTAAGACCTCCTCAATACTTTTATCACAAGTAGTATTATTAGAATACCCTATGTGACTCTAGTCCATAATATTCAGGCTATCATAATTTGATTATTTTCTGTGAAACAAAAATAAGTCACTCTATTTTTAAAAAAGCACTGTACTATGATGAAGAAGGAATTTTCGAGTGGTTACTATATTAGAGAAATTTGTATTGTAATCATCCTTTGACAATTTCTAACATAATTAGTATTTATCTTTTTTTCCAAAAGTTCTTAAGTAACAAAAGCAACAGATATAAAATACAGGGCATCAAAGATATAAAATATATTCATATATCTCAAGAAATGTAAGCGATGAAAAGGCTGTGGTATAATCCATATTTTTTGTTTATTGACAACTAATGCAAAATTCCAAACAGTAACAAAGCAACTACAGATTTGAGGAAAATAGTAAATTAGAAAGAGTAGTCAAGTGAGTCTTATTAGAGAAAAGTTTTCTGCTTTGGAATTATGTTACATTTTAAGTAAATATTATGATATTCAACCATTAATTTATACATTTGTTTATTTGTTTAACATATATTTTTTGAGTACTAAATATATCAGGCACTATTACAGGTGCTTGTGCTAATTAACAACCAATTTGCTAGAGTGTGAGAAGTTCCATAGAAAATACCTCTTGGTCTCTATGCTCACTACCTGGTTGATGGGCTCAGTCATGCTCCAAACCTGAGCATTATGCAATATACCCCTATAACAAACCCTCACATATACCCTCCTATCTACAATAAAAGTGGAAATTTAAAAAAACAAATAAAAAGAAAACACTTAATCATACTGAATATATCAACTATAACAAAACTAAGTGATTCCATTTTAGAAAAAGAATTTAGAAAGATGGGAAGAGTGGAGATTAGAATAAAACTTAAGGTGTTCAATCAGAATCAAAAGCATCAATATGTACTTGTTTACTTTTTTCCTAAGTAAGGTAGAAATGGAAAAGAATATGTAGCTATATAAAGAGACATAGATGCACATGTTTATGTGTGAATGTGTGTATATTTGTTTTAACCACTAAGACCTAGAAGCAATGACATTTTAATAGCTATCAGCACATCTGGCATTCAAACCTTGGATTCACTCTTTTCTTCTTTAAAAGGAAATGGAGATCCTTGGATCAAGGCCTGATTTTAGGTACACGGGGCAGAAAGAACAAAATGAGTCTGAGACATCTGTTGTGGTTAAGAAATAAAGGAGGTTTCAACTAATGATGAAGACATGCCTAAAAACATAGGAGCTAACTAGAAGTGGCTCTCAGTGACCCAAACTGAGATAAATTGATCAAGAACATAAATAATGATGGCAATAGATTATTAAGATCACAAATACAAGTGCATAATTGGATAAGTAAAAAAAAAGGGACAAAGGAAAGCTTTTCCACACAGTAGACTTCTAGTCAATAAATATAGAAAGAATAGCGGAAATAGAATCTCATTACTTGGCAAATACCATATAATTAGAGTATACAATTATGAGAAACAAGATATTTACATAGTCTCCAAATATCTCCCCAAAAATACTGATTTTAAAAAGAGTAACTTTAAAGTGAAGACATCTGGCAGACAATATCTTATTCCAGTGATCAGAGTTAAGGTCAACAATATTAGGACATGATCTTATTATGTGCCTCCAGATATGATGCACTGAGAAGGGCAACCTCTGCATTGTGATATTCTTGCCAAAACATATTATATGCATTTAGCCATGAGGAAATATTAGAAAAATAAAAACTTCAGAATAATCTATAAAAAAAAAAGTATCAAGGGCACAAAAGACAAAAGAAAAACTGAATTTTCTTAAAATAGAGAAGTGAAGCAACTAAATGCCATATGTGATCTTAATTTAAAGGTCATTAGTGTAACCATGAATAAAATATGTAAAAAAGGTCTATAGGTTAGTAACTAATTCCATATCAATTTCCTAATGTTAGTAACTGTACTCTTAGATACAGTGTTAATAGTTAAGAAGCTGGGTAAAGAATATATAGGAATTCTTGGAATTTTTTTCTATAAGCTTGAAGGTAGCTCAAAATAAAAATTTTAAAATAAAATGAATAAAAAAGAAAAACAATAGTATTAATCTTCTGAAATATTGGGCTAAATTATGAAATTCATGGTCCATCCCTGAGGTCTTTTATATTAGTGCTTATGAGGGAATGTGTTCTCTTTCTGGGTCCACAAGGGGTATAGTTTTAAGGGCAAGAACTTCCCAGCACCATGCCCTCCTCCCATCTCTCTCCATGCAGGAGATTTAACAGTCTGTGTTTTAATTTTCATGAGCTTGAGAAGAATAAAAAAGTCAATAACTCCGGTGGAAGTTCTAAGGAGCTCTTTTCATTGGCCAGAGAACACGGAGAAGGTGGGAGTTCCTCCCAGGTTTAATGTCCTCTTCCTCCATACCCCTCAGACTCCATGGTTTGGATCCCCTTTCATACAATCAATCTCTCTCTCTCTTTCTCTCTCTCTCTCGTGGAACAGCTCTCTCTTCTTCTCCTTTATTTCTCTTTCTCTACCTAAATACATTCACTTTCTGCATAAACTCTGTTTGGGGTCCAGTAGTTACTTTGCAAGCACACCTGGTCCCCTCTCCCATTCTTGAGAGAGCAGGAGACCAAGAAACTTGGAGAAATGTCCTCTCAGGGGAACCAAGGGCAGCCCTGAACCTCTGAAACCCAACATTTAGATATAAAAT